TATGTAGGCCAGACTGGTCTCAAACTCACAGCGATCTTCCTGCCTCAGCCTCCCGAGTGCTGGGATTACAGACGTGCGCAAAAATCTGTTTTTAAAAGTTGAAGGCACAGGGGACAGAGGAAGCCCTTAGACATGCAATCTTATTCCAGTCTTCAGGGCAAATGAACAACTCCAGATATTTTTCTCTTACTCTTTTTGCACTGCCTCCTGGGAACCTCATCCAGCTATGTCTTACCATACCTTTGGAAGATCTTGGAGCTACCCATGGGGAGCCAGTTTGAACCCTCTTTAGTGAGGGAAACTTCCTGGGGCCCCCCCACCCCCGAACCGCAGAGTTTGGCCTGCAGCTGGCTCTGCAGACACCGGTGTTGGTAATTTGGATGGTTGCGCTTGATGGCCCTGCTGCTGACTTGCTGTGTCACCAAACTGCTCAGTGCCAAATGGTAACTGGCGCCTGCCAGTGACATATGCAGCTGCAGGATCCTGCTGGCTGTGGGTTTGATTTTTTTTTTTTTTTTATGGAAAGGTTATAGTAAGTACAGACTTTTTTTTTTTTAACAGCTTTATAACTCCTGTGTCTTCGCTCATCCCGTAAGGCAGATGATTCCTAGTGACAAATGTGGAGACCGAGATGCAGAGTTGGGTGGCTTCCAGCCAGGGTCAAGGCGAAGCGCGGAACCTTTGATTTCTGACTCCTAATTCTACACTCATTCCTCTCCCGGATCCTGTCATGAGGAGACTTGCTTCTTCCATGGACTTAACAATCACCTGGTCCTCAATCCTCGTCTTTCCGCCCTCAGAGATGGCCCCTCGCTGGCCAGCCCCCTTTCACCAGCAAGCTGGTGGCCCCTTCATTTTGGCAGCAGCTGCGTCCTGAGCTCACATGACTGAGCCGGCTGTGACCTGCCCTGGGACGCTGTTGGCAGAAACGACCAAGGTGGGGTGGGACAAGAACCTAGGTGATTTTGGACAAACTTCACCCCACACTGTGTATAGAGCCTGCGAGATCGGGCCTCTGCCCACCTTCCAGAGTAGACCCTGAGCTCCCCGGGACAGCGACAGGGTCCTGTTTCCCTCTGTGGCTGCACTTGCTGGCTGGGTGCCTGGCATGGAGCAGATGATCCCGGGGAAAAGCCTGTCCAGCGCAGGATGGCCGTCCACGGTTCCCTCCCCTTCCCAGCGCCCCTTCACCTTGCAGTCATCCTGACTAAGTCTGGGGAGGGCTCGGGAGGCGCTGACCCTGGGCACCATCCCTGCCCCACCTCTCCTGCCGTTGGAAACCTAGGCTGGAAAGAAACAGATCGGCCCAGGGCAGATGGCTCCTTGGCGGAGCCTGCGGGCCGGGGCCGGGGCAGCAGCTGTGAGTGCACCGGGTCTCAGCTGTCCCGGCCACAGCCGGGGGCGGCCTTTCCCAGCCGCTTCCCTGGCCTCTCCGCTCCCTCCGGCATCTAGGAACCTCCCACTCCCTTCATTCATCCCACCCACGTCACTGGAGGCCCCTCGCTTATTAACTTTCCAGCATCTGCAGCTCACGCAGGCGCTGAGTCAGGGCTGGCTCAGCCAGGAGGGAGGCGGCCAGGCTGACTCAGCCGCTCGGCTCCTCCGTGGGGGCTTCGCCTGCAGCAGGGGTCACCTGCGGGGCAGAGGAACATGGGGCTCATGACTTGTGCTGCCCCCTGTCCCCAGCCCTGCTGAGACCCAGCTTCCTCCTGCCCCCTCCACCGGCGCCCCCAGCTCCGGTTTAGGGAACTGAATGGGGGAGGCGGGGGTAGAGAGAGGGGGCCCTCGGGTGTCCAGGCGGCCCACCTTGATGGGACTTACAGTTGCTGTAACAAAATCCCCGAGCTGGGTGATTTATGGAGAATGGCGTCTGGGGCTCGGGGCTCTGAAGTTGGAAGTCGGAGAGCTTGGCTGGAGATGGTGGTGAGGGCCTGGAATAGCAGAGCACATGGCAGGGTGGGACAGAGCCAGCATCTATTCCTCTTCTTAGTCCTCCAGTTTCATCACGGGACCCACACTCATGACTTCATTGTAAGACTTAAGTCTCACTTTTACTCCTGCAGCGTGAACTGCCAAGAGGCTTCCACGATGCTGGGCTCAGAAGCTCAGCGAGGCTCCAGGAGCTTGTCGGACAGCGAGAGTCACCCAGGAAGGAACACACCAGGCAGGTTGGCAAATAGACCTTTATTAGTCTGGCCAGACGGCACTCCCCAAGCCAAGTAGCTCAGAGAGGCGGCTAGCTCAGAAACAGAGGCCATTTTATATAGGGCTGAGGGGGGGTTTACACTTAAAACTTACAGGAAGAGGACAAAGGCAAAGAATCAGTTGATCTGAGCTAGTGGTCATCAAGCATATGCTCGACCATCACGTACTAATGATCAGCCGAGCGATTATCCATTATTCCATTTACAACTTAGATTATAATGTTCAGAACATTCAACTACAGGCAAATAAGGAGTGGCGTGATTTGTGTTGGGTCTCTGTGTTCACTACAGTTTCCATTTAGTTTCCCAGCTACTTCAAAGCAGTTACCTAACAATTCACAATTAATCATTAGTTATCCTATAAGGGATGGCAGGGCGCGACAGTCTCTGGGTCGTTTGCTGGTCAACATGGAGTCGCTCTGGTTCAGTCAGGCTCTTATATCATCTAACTCTAATTGTCCGCCTGAGGCCCCAAGTCCCAGCCGCACTAACATGAACATTTGGGGAGCATGTTCCTAAGGAGAGCTTTGAGAGGTCACATTCCGATGACAGCAGTTGGTCCAAGGCTGAATGTGTACTTTGTCAGGGCCAATGAGAGGCACCGAAACTCAGGCTAAAAGTTTCAGGAGAAAGACTCTCATTCCTTTTTGCTAGACTGGAAATTCTGGAAGAGGTAGGGGCTAGCTGGGTTCAGGGGGAGCACACCTGTAATCCCAATACTTGGGAGGCTGAGGCAGAAGGATCACTGTGAGTTCAAGGCCAGCCTGGACTACATAGTAAGATCCGGTCTCAAAAAAAAAAAAAAAAAAAGACCGGGGATTTAGCTCAGTGGTGCCGCTGCCTGCCTCACAAGCACAAGGACCCAAGTTCGATCTCTGGTACCAAAAAAATGGAAAAAAAAAGATAGGGGCTATAGCTGCTAGTTCTAGCTTGCTGCCATGTGACACCTGAGACAAAAGCCAACCTTGCAAAAAGCAGAAAACTTGTGAAAAATGAATCTTGACTCTTATTTTGGAGCCCCAAATCTAGCTACACTTGAAGATGTACTAACAAAGGGCCTTTTGGGTTTCGATTTTGAACTGTACTCTTCTTACGTCAGTATAGGTTGAAATTTCTGTTGCTAGCAGCTGACAGAATGCCCGTACTCCTTACCACATTTAAGTAATCCTAAGGCACACATTTTTTTCCTTTTAACTTCTCAGAGGTTAGGAGTGCTTTGTACAATGGGATCATCTCAAAGGGGCTTCCTTATTTGTGAATTTGAGCATAGCTGTTCCTATTGTCTTTACTTCAACTGAATAAGCACCACTGAATTTTGCGCTATTGAAAATGCCTTAGGAAGATTCAATTGTGAGTCAGCATTTGGCTAAGACGTGATTGTGTAGAGAGAAAGGTAGAGATGGATACCAGGCAACAGGGAGTGAGGTTAATATTACTGAAGCAAGTGTTTGTCTTTGGAAAGGTGACTGCTCTGTGCTTACAAAGGAATAAGAAAATGCATTATGAAACTTAATGTGGGTAACTTCTGCAGAGGGATGTTCCACTTCTGAAACACACTAAAAAGACTGACTGTCATATGCCAGGCAGTACAACTGCAGAAAGGAAAAATTGTAGAATCCTACAGAAAAGGTGAGAATTTTAAACCAACTTGAGTTGCTGCAGGTGGCCATTCGGACACTGTGTACTGACAGGGCAGTTGGTGGCATTTTCTTTCTTAATGGTGCATTTTGTTTTTTGGAGACAGGGTCTCCCTTTGTAGTTCAGGCTGGCCTTGAACTCACTGTAGCCCATGGGGGTATCCAACTGGTGTCGATCCTCCTGCCTCAGCCTTCCCACTGCTGGGATGACAGGTGTGAGCCACCACACCCATCTATCAGTGGCTCATTCTACAGCTATTGGGATCCACTGCCCCTCCCATTTTTGCAAAAAAAAAAAAAAAACCCAAAAAAAACATTCTTAAAGTCGCTTGCCCAAGGTCACAGGCTGAACTGGAACTTCCTGGACCTAAAGTTATCTCCCACCTGGCCCCACTCAAGGGGAATGGAAGGCTGGAGGCATCTGTCTGTCCCTGCCCTGCTGTGGGAGGGCTCTGGCGGACGCTGTCTGCCGTGCCAATGTGGAAGCTGAGAGCGGCCTGGCCTCCTGTGATACTCACTCTCAAAGTGGTTCAGCTCCCCAGCTTTGCTGTTTACCAGCTGTGTGACCCTGGGCAGGTCACTTAAACTCTCCCCTTTTGTAAAACTAAAAGAATAAGAACAAATACCAGGGCCTGATGCATAGAGGTGATGTGAGGCACACGTGGGCTAACATCTACTGTTTATTTAACAAACTGTACGCAGTGCTGGCACCAGTTCAGGTGAGGATTATGAAGATCAGTCAGTGTGTGTCCAGTCCGGGACCATCTCATCTGGACGGAGGCATGGCCCAGGAACTTCTCCTCCATGCTCCCGTGACTTTAATCAGATCTTTTGCATATTCCATGCAGTTTTTTAAAGCTGCCTTTAATGGGCACGTTGCTCTGATTTTCCTAGTCCACCACATGGATATATAATATTCATTGTTCATTGTCTTTTCTCAACCTCCAGTTTGCTTCAAATAAAGTGGAAGCCCAGGGATTTAGCTCAGTGGTTCTGCCACCTGCCTCGAAAGCACAAGGACCTGAGTTCGATTCCTAGTACAAAAAAAAAAAAAAAAAAAAAAGTAAGCCCATAGGAATTTGTGTGTGCTCACTGGCGAAACCCAAGTACCTAGGCCAGTGTTGGGCGGGTAACAGGTGACCAATACACACTTGCTGAGATCCTTGCATTGCTCATGATCGTGATGACTGGGTTTTCAGGCCATTGTGTGGGATCACCTCCCTCTGACACTGTTGTGACTGCTGCACTTTGCCTGCCTGACTTGAAAAGCAAAACAAACTCAGGGACTGAGCAAAGAAAGCAAGAGAATGAAACTGACTGTCCCACAGAGGACTTGTAGTGAGCTCAGCCCTCAGCGCAGGGGGACTCAAGCCCGGACAGCCAAGCAGCACTTGTAGACAGGATTCCGGTTCTGATCCAGGCCCTGACGTCTCCCGCCTGTGTGACCTCAGCTGAGTTCCCCTGTGCCTGAGTCCCCATCGGTGCACGCGGGAAATACCGAGTTGCATGGAAGTAAAGGAGTCACCACAGTGGAGGGCATGTGGCTATCCTAGCATAAGGGTGCCATTGCGGACTGGGCCTCTGAGATGTTCGCATTCCCTTCCTGTTTTCTGTTTCAGGGAGTTCTGAATGCAAGACTTTGTTCTCTGCTCTTCTAAATTATGGCTAGAAATACTCTGGTTTCTCTTCAGATCGTATAAATCTTTCGCCTTATTAAATTATGGCTAGGGTTAGGGCTGTGGCTCAGAGGGAGAGCGCTTGCTTGTACCCTAGCATACAGGAGTCCCTGGATCTAGCCACAGCACTGCAGAAAACAAAAGCAAGACAAAAGCAAAAGAAAAAGTTGACCATGTGTTAAATGCTGTCTTAGCTCCTGGGAAGGTGCTACAAGGAACTAAACGGTATCTGGGTTGATATGCCCTGTAAAACAGTCTTTCTAGAAGATTCTAAAACCACCTATAGCATATAGCAGCTAAGCTCACAGATGTCATGGCTATGTGGCCCAACTTTGGTTCCTTTTTTTCCTGTTGGTCTAAAAGGCTTTACCTGGGGTAAAGAGAGTTAGAATGAGGCACTTACTACTAATTGCTCATTTTTATTTTATTTTATTAATTATTTTTGTGACAGAGCCTCACTATATTGTCTAGATTGGTCTTCAACTTTTGAGCTCAAGTGATCTTCCTGAGAGGCTGTGAGTAGCCATGCCTGGCTTACTATCTCTCTGGCAGAGAGAGGCACTTTGCCAATCTTGAGAATTATGAGAAAATATTTTCTTTCCTTCCCCCTTATGGGTTCAGACAAAGCTCTCCCGGAGTGCGTGTGCGCATGTATGTGTGTGTATGTCCTGGAACAAAGCAAGCCTGAAATGTGCACACACGTGGGCTGGAAGCTGAGGGAGACCTGACTCGGAGGGTCCCAGCCTCTCTGATCCCCCAAACCTCCTTTTCTACTACACTACTCTGCAGGTGCCAAACATACATGCACGTTAGCAGCGATTCAATCAGCAAACCCCACCGCGCACTAGTCAGACTTGGAGAAGGGTATGGAGGAAAGGGGCTGGGAGTCGCCCCGGGAAGATCCCGTCATCCCGACGCAGAGACACTGTTCCCAGAACAAAGCTACCCACCCCGGGGCTCAGCTGGGAGGTGGAGGTCAACCTTCAGGGGACAAGGCCAGCACCTGGTCCGGCTCCACACATGCGCAATCCCTGGAGACTCCGGGGGGGCTCACATTGGGGGTCCCGCTCCCATACCTGTTCCAGAGCATCCAGAATTTCTTCCCGGGGACGGGAGAACCCCATGTCCTCCCGCCTCCTCCCTGGGCCGCCCTGCTTCTCCCCAGTATGGGAGGCTCTTTATCAAAGAATCTTCAAAAACAAACAGTAGGTCCCTCAAAGGGAGCCCAGCAGTGACACATTCGCCTCTCCTCCCGCCTCAGCTTGCTGGGTTTGGCTGGGTTTATCTGAAGAGGTCGGGAAGGAGACTTTATTTGGGAAGGCAGGTCAGGGAGAGGGGAGAGAGGAGAGAGGGAGAAAACAAAGAAACAAAAGTCCTGTTATTGTTTTGGGGCTGGGCCATTGTTTATTTTTGAGGCGTGAGGTACTTTTCACCTGTCCCAGGCCAGGTTGCCCTTATGAGTTCAGACCTGCAGAAACTTAGGTTTAACTTCTCGGGATGCTGTGGCCTTTGGGGGAGGGAAAGATAAGAGCATGAGGTCATTTTAAGAGGCAAGAAGAACCAGGAGAAGACAGCCTATGATGGCCGTCAGGTCCCTAACATCATCCACAGCCCCGGGAGCTTCCAGAACCGCGTCTCTCTGCCTCTCAGACTGGGCCAGGGGAGGCCTGGCGTCCGGGTGGCTGGGAGGGGCTTTGCTGCCCAAGAATGGGAATTCTCTTCACCAGGATGTGGAGACTGTTCAGTCACCAGGAACACAAAGTCATTATCATTGTTGGGTTGGATAATGCAGGGAAAACTTCCATCCTTTACCAGTTTTCTATGAATGAAGTTGTACATACATCCCCCAAAATAGGAAGTAATGTAGGAGATAGTAATTAGCTTGTGAAATTTCAGTGAAGGTTTTGGTAAAGAATAATAGTACATACAATGAAAGCATTGATGAAACTCTGAAAGTTTCTTTCTATAAAATATAAATTACTCACCGGGCATGGTGGTGAACATCTGTAATCCCAGCACTCGGGAGGCTGAGGCAGGAGGATCATTATGAGTTCTAGACCAGCCTGGGCTACATAGTGAGTTCCAGGTCAGTCTCAACTACATAGTGAGACCCTGTCTCAAAAACCTAAATAAATAAATAAATAGACAGATAATAAAATATAAATTACTCAATATTTTAAATCCAAATTAGGCATGGAAGATCAGTATTAACATTGGATTTTTGTTTTTTATACTTGCTTTAATGTTGAAATGCAGATAAAACATTTAATATTTTTCTTTTTTTTTCTTTTTTGGTACCAGAGATCGAACTCGGGTCCTTGTGCTTGCAAAGCAGGCGTCGGAACCACTGAGCTAATTCCCCGGCCCCAACATTTAATATTTGTCAACATGCTTCTATAAAAGTAAATCTTAAAGTGCTACGCTTTGTTCATATGTTCTTGTACTTTTTCAAATCACTACAAGAAATGATTTACTGTGTATCAAAAATTTCCTTAGAACCAAAATCTATTTTGTAATTTCCTCAGAGACAAATATTCTGTAAATATTTTGAAAATCTACACCTTTTATTATTTTTATGTTTTAATTTGAACAGGACAGAGAGGCACTGAGGAACTGCTAGAGTCACTCTTAGCAAAAGCTCTAGCTGTGTGGCAAGAGACTACAGTCTCACCCAGTTTTTAAATGTCTGCCCCTGAGCTACACCTCTGGCCCTTAAAGTATAAATCTAGCCGTTCCTTGGGCTGGGGTTAGGGCTGTCACCGGAAGGGGTCTCAGGTGAGGGAGGCTGGAAAAGGCCATTTCCTGGTCTGAAGGTTTTCAAGGTGATGTCAAGGGTATTTGTAAGGGTATTTGCTTTACAATATTGCATTATGCTTGACATTTCTATGTGAGGTTTTCTCTGCGTTTTATAACAACAGGAAAAGAAAAACTGCCCATTGGCTCAGGTTGCCCCTATTTCCTTGCAAATCCTTCAGTGTCTCTCCCTTGCTCTTAGAGAAAGGCTGAGTTCATCATTCTGGCTCTCCAGGAGGTTCTGCCTGGAGCCAGTCTGCCAGCATTTTGGGGCTCTAGACAAGTGGGGCTGGGGATTTAGCTCAGTGGTTCCACCGCCTGCTTCGCAAGCACAAGGACCTGAGTTCGATCCCCGATACCACAAGAAAGCCCCAAAAACAAAGACAGAAGAAAGGTGGGTGCGGTGGCACGTGCCTGGAATGCAAGCACTCAGGAAGCTGAGGCAGGCTGAATGCCAGAGCAAGACAGAAGAAAGGTGGGTGCGGTGGCACGTGCCTGGAATGCAAGCACTCAGGAAGCTGAGGCAGGCTGAATGCCAGAGCTGGAGGCCAGCCTGGGCTGCGTAGCAAAGCCCTGTCTTAAAAACAAACAAGAACAAAGAAGGAAGAGAACGCAAGAAACAAGGCCAGGCCCCAGGAAGCTGGGTGCTGGGGAGCCCCCTCCTCAGAAGCCAGATCCAGGCTCAAAGTAGCCTGAGGGTCGGCAGGCGAGAAGGGTGACCCTTACCCCATTTCCTGTAGCTTCAGGGTGAGGACTGGGGAGCCATGCCCAGGCACCACCCCTCTGCCCCACCGGGACCTCCAGTACCCTGTGCCCCATTGGCCTGTGATGGGTGTAAGACCTAAAGTCTCACTTCCACTCCACGGAGTGTGAACAGCCCAAAAAGGCCTCCACGATGCTGGGCCCTAACACCCAGCGAGGCTCCGGGAGCTCCACAGAGAACGAGAAACCCAGGAAGGAACACACCAGGCTAGATGGTAAAAGACCTTTATTAGTCTGGCCAGACGGCACTCTCAGAACCAAGTGGCTGGCTCAGAGAGGTGCCTAGCTCAGGGGCCGAGGTCCTCTTATAGGGAGTAAAAGGAAGGGGTTAACATTTTGGGCTCACAGACAGGGGACAAAGGTCTGCTGACTTGAGCTGGTGGTCAGCAGTCACATATTGATGAGTAACAGGTACCACCTATAGGATGTCTCAAAGGTCACCAAGACACTCCGGATGAGCAAACAGTTTGTCAGTTAGCTTGGGCTCTATGTCTGGAGTCTCTAATTTACAAGTAGATTCAGATAGGAACAAAGGGGGGCTGTGGCTACAATGGGAGGGGTTCAGGACACTGTCTCCTAGGCCCTTTGCCATTTAGCAAGGGCTTGTAGTTTAGGTCCCACAATGGGCAGGCCCCATGGGCTTGGTCTTCTACTTTGTATTTTCCCCAATATCTATTCTGTGTGTGTGTGTGTGTGTGTGTTTCTGTAATCTCAGCACTCTGGGAAGCTGAAGCAGGAGGTCACAACTTCAATTGCCCAGCCACGGCAATTTAGCAGTTTAGTGAGAGTTGTAAGTCCCAAACCTGCTACATATCCAAAATGTGAGTTCGTGTTCTCTGAAATCGAAGACTGAATCACAGGAGCAACGGAGGTTAAGAGCAGGAAAAATTTATTGAGGGAAAGGGAACTTCTGTCTAAGAGAGACAGGAGGGGGAACGGAAAGTGTGTTGCCTGCCCACCCCATTTCTCAAACACATTTTATACCGCAAAGCCAGGTGGTGAGGCAGGTACAAAGTGGGACAAAACTGAAG